CATCATCAGCCTTTTTAGCAGCAGCATCACACTTATGGCTCATGTTTAATTTGTGGCTGACAAGACACCCTGATCTCTTTAACATATAAAGTATGTTAACGTTAACATACTGTCAAGCCATGTGTACACCATCCTATACTAGTGCCATTCATTGTTCACTGTTCTTACCAGATGCATAACTTTGCACTTTTTCCTGTTAAACTCTGTCCTATTCCTTTCAGCTCATTGCTCAAACCTGTTTAGAACTTTATCAATTCATAGGAGTACAGTATCAGTTTGTTAATACTGCATGCTAGGAAGGTGTTTGGCAGAATTGTGATTGAAAGGGTACAAGAAGTGAAAATTAGCAAAAAAAATAGGGATGCACCATGCAGCTTCACAGGGGGCAGGGGTGTGCAGCCCAGATTTTTCACTTTAGGAGGTTACTGAGAAATGTATTAATGTGAGAAAAAGGTATGTCTGTTGACTTAAAGAAACTCTATGATGCAGGGAATAGGCTCGAATAATACAACATTCTGCATTAATGCGGAGATGAAGCTTCCTATGTGTGAATGTGATAAGAGTAGATGATAGAAGTAAAGCATGCCTGCAAACAATGTAATGCTCAGCAAAATGTTCAACACTGAGCAGAGAGTAAGACAAGGTTATGTGGTATTCCCTTGGTTGTTTGATAAATTTATCAATAAATGTACAAGGAATGCTTGTAGGCAAGTTAAAGATATAATAGTTGGGCACGTGAATGCATATGTATTACTGTATGAAAACAATACCATGTTGTTGTTGGAGAACAAGATGATTTGCAAAGAATGTTAGACCGTATGATGCAATGAGCATGGATCTGAAAATAAATGTATCAAAGTAGCTGTATTGGACAGGGAAAATGGAACAATTGCAAGTTATAAATAAACAGTAAAATCTAGGGTAAGTAGATGAATATGTGTCTTGGTAGTGTTTAAAGATGGGAAATTGGAGAAATTTTAAGATGTGAATGTCTATCTATGCTGGTAGAACTGTAGCAGGTAATGTAGTCTGATGCAAAGAATGAATTTGGTTTGTCAAAAAAGGTGAAAATGTCTGTGTGTAAGAGCATGCTTCTATCCACATTGTCACACAGAACTGGGTATGTCAGGAGAAACATCAAATAAGTTGAATGCAGTGGGAATCCAGTAAAGAAGTCTGTGAGGTAAAAGAAGAACAGAGGGGGTAAAGAATAAATAGGTGCTGAATTAATGTGAACTGAATATAAAACAGAGTTATATAGTACAAAAGACGTACACTGAGGTAATTAAGATATAGAAAGATTTAATGAGGATCAAATTGCAAAGCAAATATATGAAGAAAGAATAAATGGGTTGAGAGGAAGAAAAATGTGGCTGCATAGTGCTGAACGTCAAAAAGAGAAAAGTGAAAAGTTTAAAGAACATGCATGCATGAATCACTGTAAGGATTCATGGATGGGTAAGCAAAGATGGCGTGCAAAGATGAAAATACATTGATAGTATAGTGAATGGTGCTTGATTTAAATTTTTTTCTTGTATTTCCTTTTCTATTTCTTATCTCACATTTTTCTTATTCTACTATTTACATATTATTGCTTGCCCTGAAAGGGAATAATGTGACAAATACAGCATGTATATATGCTGAATAGGCACATGGCAACTGTTATGCCAACAGTTCACTTTATATCCAGCTGTATCCCAACAGTGGATAAAAAAAAAAAAAGAAGTTACATATGTTTTGAGTTATATAAGGTCCATGTCATACCTGCAGATGAAAAAGAAGACAAGGCAAAATCTACTGACATTAACTATTCATCACATACTAATGTGTGATTTAAAAGATGAATTGTACAGTGCAGGCTTCCCCATTCTGGTCCTTTCAGAATGAATCAGGATTTCAGTTCCCAAAATTCCATCCAGAATTTTGGAACTTGCAATTCCAACATATTTGGAGGGCACCAAGATGAGAAAGGATGGTGCAGTGCTTGCTGAAATTCTAAACATCCTTATTATGATGTTCTGAACCCTACTTATCACATTAAATACTGAAGACAAGGGTGTGTCCTAATTACACAATGCCCATTAACTTTAAGCAGGCCTACATAAGTTGTAGCTTTCCATGCCAAATACAATCTGTCACCCAATTATGATAGCCTCTGAGAGAGATAAATTGCTTGTAACTTTTGTGGGATTGCCAAAAATTGCATAGCTAAGTAGACTGCATTCCACTTGATGGTTTCAAATTTTCCAAGTCTTACTATTCTAAATAGTAACTAAATGACACCAATTCATACTTTTTGACATACAGGTAGTCCTTGCTTAATGACTGCCCTGTTTAGAAGCTGTTCAAAGTTATGACATCATTGAAAAACTAATTTTATGACTGTTCCTCACACTTACGATTGTCACAGCATTCCATGGTTACATGATTGCTATTTACACGCTTCACAACCAGCTTCCGACAAGCAGAATCAATGGAGAAGCTGGCAGTAAAATTGGAAGTTACAGTCATGTCATGTGATGTCTCACTTAACAACTGTGGGTGATTCACTTAACAACCACAGCAAGAGTGATGTCATACATCTGGTACAGTCATGTGACATTTTGCTTAACAACTGAGTCATTTGGCAATGGAATTGTCAATCCCAATTGTGGACATTAAGCAAGGACTACCTGTACATTTTAGTTCTTTCATTCATCACCACCTTCACTTCTCTGCATGTATTAGTCAATTCCCCTAGACAAGATCAGACCACCTTCATTTAGTTGTATTATATCATTCCCCTTTCTATTTGGGTGTGTATGCCCATGTATATACACACTCAGACAGAACCGCACATAAAATTTAATTTCACAGTCTGCTGCATTTGGCTTCAGTTTTCTTCTTTTGTTGTTGTTCTTGTTACAAATTTGACATATTGTTCTTGTATTTACAGTTTGTTTACATATTTAATGACCTACCTAAAAGAAAGTAGACTATAAAACTCATGAAGGGGGTATAAATCACAGCAGGTACCCAAATGTGAATCTAATCTAACTCTCAGATTCAATACATGGAATACATTGAATTAACAGTTATGCATTGGAAGCAAACAAGTTTGCCAACAAAATACTGTATTCCCAAACAAGAGTTCTTTACCAGAATTTCTAAATAAATATTGAGGTACATGAATAATAACATAATAAATCATAAAATGATAAAATCAGTGCTTCAATATTTTAGATACATTACCCATTATCTGAAGTGTTCAGAAACTCAACAGGTCGATTTTAAACTGGGTCAGTGCATATTATGCTGTGAGAGGGCAAGCAGGCTGGCATATAGCCAAGCATAATTTCCATAGAACAACATTCCAAAGTGCAGTATCTGCTCAAAATAGCTTATAAAGAAAAGGCCTGAGTTATTTTAAAAAGAGGGTTTAGTTTTGAGATGCTAGAACAACTCCAATGCACATCAGTGATAGTGTAGGAACACAAAGTTCAAACTTTCAAACTCCAGATAATGGAAAATGAGCACATAGATACTACTGTAGATATTCTAGTATAATAATCTAAATTCACAGTGGAATGAACTGAACTCTATTTTAGTGTTATTTTATTCCTTCATGTGAAGTAACTGTAACACTAGTCAGAACATTTAAGTATAACTCACTGCCAAAAAACATAAATAGTTCCCAGAGTTTTTGATAGTGGCTGATTTGTAGAAAGACTGTCAACATATAGCGCATTTCTTGATTGGTGACATGGGAAAATTCCAGGGCCATATTTACACTGGAGTAACTGATCTGGGTGACCGAACAGAGTAAGAGATACTTTTCTTGAAAGACACAACACAAACTACACAAGCTGTAGTTTAACTAAAGCTGCTACCGTTCAGGAGACAGCCATGATAGATTATTGGTCAATTACAAACTACAGAAAACTCAGGAAAAGCAGCAAACACCAGAAGTCTTTTAGCAAGAAAAGTGCTACTTCCTGTTAATGGGGCCTCTTTATAAGATACCAGACTGGATGAAACAAACTAAGTTTGAAACATATTTAGAAGTAAAAGGCATACCTCATCACACCGTTCGTCCAAACTATAGCTAGAGCCAACATTATCCTAACAGATGAGTTATCTCGGATGCCATAAATCCATTCTCCCAGATAAAGAGTCTCCCTCTTTATCTATCTATCTATCTATCTATCTATCTATCTATCTATCTATCTATCTATCTATCTATCTATCTATCTATCAATCAATCAATCATATATGGCCATCCAGCTCACAGATGTGACTCTGGGTGGCATACAATAAAACCAACAATTCAAACATTCTTCAAAAACCATTAAAAAAAGAACATTCCCCTCCATAAATTCACTGGGACCTAAAAACAAAAGAGGGGGAGTTTGCCTCCTTTCTTGCTGGCTTTGCCAAAAATCAAAAACCAAAAATCTCAGCCCCTGAAGTCCCCTGACATGCACCTCCTAGTGAAGGGGAGTACTTTGGTTTACTTTCTACAATACAGGTAACTGCTTCTCCCTTTCTGTATTATTTGGAAAGATGGGAAAGGCAAGAATATATAAAGAAAAAGAGAGCCTTAATCCTTCCCAGAGGAAGATGATGCATTTTGATTAACTGTATTTTGGAAAGGTAGGCCACAGAGAAACAAACCCCATTTAGGGCTTGGCCTAGGATGGGGTTTGAGCATTCATATTCAGTGACCAAATAGTAAGTCAAGCGGTATCTTGAAGGCTCCTGAAGACAACAGCTGCATTTGATATGCCATACTTTAATAAACAGCAATTTTCTGTTATAATAAATTGGTTATGCCATCAAGTTTCTGTTGACTGTTAGCGACCACATAAATAGATCTTCTCCAGGTGTATTATTTTTATAACAAATAGATCAAACAAACAAACAAACAAATAAATGTAATAGTAGATCATAAAAATAAAACATTCAAATGTTATACTTCGACAAAATTTACAGTACTAAAAAAATGAAATCATTGCTGATACCTTTGTGTGTTGGAACGGGTCTAACATGTCCATCCATTTGGCCTAAAGTATCATCAGGATCTGGCATCTCTACTTCACCTATGTAAACACAATGAAAACAATACAAGGCATTTAACATGAAACTGAGTTCAGATCAGAGATTGGATTTTCTGGAAAATTTGGATCCTGTGCTAATGATTATGATTTCAGTTAGCATATTTATTTCAAAATCTAATAATCTGCATAAGTATCTGGACATTATTTGGTGTAAAAAATATCTAGCCCATTTTATGAGGTTTGAACAGTACATTCAAAGTAACAAAAAACTTTTGTGGAAAAGAATTGTTTTTACTGGAATGTTGGAGGCAATAGAATAATATGCAACTGCAATGTACTTTTATAAATTCAGTTTTTAGAACTATTACTTAAACAGCAAACATCATGCAACTTTGAAACTGTAAAACTGTAAATTTTCTAGCCCACATCTCTGATACTCAGTCTATCTTCTTTTCTAAAAGCCACCTTTCTCCCCAGCATAACTTTGCATTTGCTCCCATTTTCTGCATTTAACTTTTAATATTGCCGTTGCAGTAAAATTTCTTGAATCATCTCAAGTCAGCCATTTGAAACCAATTATTGGCACAACCAGTGATATTTATGAATTCTTTGTTCCCCCCAAAATATTAGTTAAGTTCAGGACTAAACCAATTAAACTAATCTAATCAAACTCCAACCCGTTATCCCTCTAATAAGCATTCCAAACCTTAGTTTGGTAAGGATTGTGTTCAGTCCAAAACTATGGTAATTTTAGTTTATAGAAACACCCAATTCTATAATGATTTTCCCTCTTGTGAATTTTTTCTTTTAATAAAAAAAGGAATATAAAAAGCTTCTGAAAGAGAAAAAGCAAAACTACTCATTAGTGAAATGGGCAAGGCTCCAACCAGCAGTAATAAATAAGGATGATCGTCTGTTCCAGCATCTTATTTCTCATTCTTCAGATAAACCCAGATTAATCTCTTCGGAATCCTTGACCAAATATTTGGGCAACTTATTCAGTGCTCCTTTTGGTGATGATTCTCCCCCCACCTGTACCCCCTTTATCTGATCCACATCCTGACTGGCCCCTGGTTTCACAACTAGAAATCCAAAAACGAATTTCTCAGTTGAAAAGTAGCAAAGGCCCAAGTAAAGATATTAATTAATTAATTGAACTTATATGGCCACTTATCTCATATAATGATTTTATGCAGCTCACAATCTAGATTTTGCCAGAATTGCTGAAAATAAATCTTGATTGGTGGGTCCCTGTGTTAGTCCCCCTATTTACTGCCATTAAATCTTTATCATTCCTGAAAGAGTAGCTTGATTCTATCCCTTTCCCATTATACAGGTGCAGCCAAAAGTATTGGCACCCCTCCACTTTTTCCCAAAGAATCCCAATTTGCCATGAAGTAAATTGAAACTGACACAAGTAAATTGCATCCTCCATTATTCCATAGTCCAGAGAGGAGACACTTTGCTTTTGATTTATGACTTAACATATTCTTGTAAATATGAACTGTGGAGGGATGCCACAATCCATCTTAAGTACCTTTGGCCCCAGACCTACAACGCAGCCTTCTCATGCATCAGCAGGATCACAGTACGAAACGCCAAAGCAAGCAGGAGCAGAAGCTCTTTACCTCTTCACTGAAATAGCTATTATGAACATATCTACACATAATTTAGCAGACCAAAAAGCAGCACACAGTTGTTGATTTTATAAGAACTCCATGCAAGACAACCACCTGGATACAATGCAGGCATATTTCAGGTATGAAGCTATCGTTTCATGTTGTTTTGATCATCTTCTCATCTGTCCACTGTGAGGAAGAGGCCAGACTCCTGGCCTCCAAGGCTCTGTGGAACAGATATGCTGTTGAGGGCCAAGATCTCACAGTACAATATCTACAATGTTGGATTCTAGTGCTGCCTTAAAAGTCAAATTGTTGGATAACTCTTCCCCCCCCCCCAATGACTTTGGCATCATTTCCAAGATGCTCAATGTGAAGTGGAACAGGATCTCACCAGCCAGCAGGTGATCCTCAGGCCCCTGAAGGTTGGTCACTTCAATTTAACATCAACCACAATCATGTACCTGATACAGGAATGAGGCCAGGTGATGGTTGGCTTTACCAGTACCCCAGAGCAAGGATGGATTATGGTTCAACAACATAGCAAAAAGTTTTTGCCACACTTTGCTGTCACCTTGGATTACTGTAAATCACACAGCACAATAGTTTCAGGAATGAAATACTATCTTATGGTAGAGCTGGTGAATGTACTGTGTGAAAAGAATGGTAGGGAAATGACACACAAAAATCTGCAAAAACGATGTGGTCCCTTCAAAGGCTCAACAGCAGAAACAAAATTGCAAGTTTGAAATCTGGTCCCGTCCTTGGCTGAATGACACACAGTTGACCAGCATGAACTAAGCATCCACTTCCTAATCTAGATAGCTGAGATAAACCCTAACCCAAACAAATGATTCTGAGTGGTCCCAGCAGCTGAGCAACTTATTGTGTGCAGGCTGGACCTTTTCTGTCTCACTCAGTTTTATGTTTTCTCTAGCTCTGCTTAAAATTAAATTTTTAAAAATTGTTTCCTAACAGGCCAACATCCTATTCATTACTGTCCAGCAATGTCCCATTGACCAATTAACTTTCCTGATGTTTGTAATATGGTTATGAATTGCTATGCTTGTTTTTATATTCAGAAGCCTTTATTCTCCCAGTGGAGCAATCATGTTTAAATGTTGGCCCTGTGTACTCAGAACCACCATATTTCCAAAGCCAGGCACTAGGAAGGCCTATTTCTCCTCAATCTGTAAGTATAATAGGCTCCTGTCTCTCAGCCAATTGGGACTCACTTGCTATGGGCTGATGATGTAGGGAGTCCAAGGTTGCAGTCAGCGTGCTGACTACTCTAGTCCTTTTGACTCACTCACCAGTTGAGCAAGGTACAGGCAGTCCTCACTTACTGACCACAATAAGGACCAGCAACTCCATTGCTAAGCAGCAGGGTCATTAAGCAGGACATCATGTGACCGCACTGACTTACGACATCAATTCTGTCAGTTCCAGTTGCTAAACAAATCACCACGGGTTAAGTGTGACATCATGTGACCGTGACTTGCTACTTCCTGCTGGCTTCCCCATTGACTTTCCTTGTTGGAAGCTGGCTGTGAAGTCATAAACGGTGATCACATGACTGCAGGATGCTGTGACTGTCATAAATTTGCACTGGTTGCCAAGCACTCAAATTGTGATCACCGCAGGGACACTGCAACAGCCGCAATTTCAAGGATAGGTCATAAGTCTCTACTTTCAGCACCGTCATAAGTTTGAATGGTTGCTGAATGAGTGGTTAGTAAGCAAAGACTACCTGTATAAGCACTGAGCTCTCCCCTCTCTCTTACTAAAAGATCATTTTGGAAAACAAAAACAAAAGCACAACAGAAAAAAATAAAAATGGTATGTGTATGTGCATACAAGCACACACCCTCAGCATCCCAAAAGTACTTAACTTTTTATGTTATGGGAATTGTTTAGTTGGTATGGGAGTACAAAGAGTTGCTAGTTCCATCTGCATCCATCCAAACTTTACTGTCTAAATCTTAAAGTTGTTTGTCTTGATCTTCCTTTCTGCACATTGGCATTGGGGGAAAAAAAAATACTGATCCGAAATACTGATCCGAAAGATTGTGTTTAATGTATGTATGAACACACTCAATTCTGTCTTCCAATAGTTGCTGTAGATTCAAAACACAATGTGTGTTGATATGCAAATCTCTTACTTAACTTTCAAAACGTTGTTTTGTACCAGCAGTTTATTTTTTAGAATTCTTAGTAAACCCTTTAGCCAAAAATGGGGGGGGGGGGGGGG